GCTTTTTGTTATATTCCATGGAATGCTCTTAACATCCCGATAGCAATGAATATCTTAAGTGCTTTGACAAAAAATTCATAAAAAAATGTCATCAGTGGAAGCCGTAGTAATGTAAAAAGCACGACCAATCATTTGAGCCGGCCCGGCTAAAATAACTGGATGGCCTACCTGCCTGTCAGCCTTCCATCTGTGCACAAACTTATCTCGTGCCCTCATTGGTCATGTGCGCGTTCGTGTGTGTTGGAGGAGGGGCTCTGTAAGGAAGTGGCAGATTTTTTCCGGCTGGTTTCTCCAAAATGACCTACCCCACCTTTAATCGTTTCTCTTAAATATAAAAAGAATAGAGGACTATGNATTATCTTTTAAATTGACAAACATCATATGTGTAATTGGTGGCACAATTCAAACGGGATCGAAAGATAATCTTTCTCTCTCCNCCCTATAAGTCTATTACATGCACAGTGGGGCGGCACTCAAAAGGATTTTCATAATCAAATTATACTCTTTATTAAAAGGTGGGTAGGTAAGTTTGAGAAACCGGCTCGAGATACACTTTTTGTTATATTCCATGGAATGCTCTTAACATCCCGATAGCAATGAATATCTTAAGTGCTTTGACAAAAAATTCATCAGTGGAAGCCGTAGTACTGTAAAAAGCACGACCAATCATTTGAGCCGGCCCGGCTAAAATAACTGGATGGCCTACCTGCCTGTCAGCCTTCCATCTGTGCACAAACTTATCTCGTGCCCTCATTGGTCATGTGCGCGTTCGTGTGTGTTGGAGGAGGGGCTCTGTAAGGAAGTGGCAGATTTTTTCCGGCTGGTTTCTCCAAAATGACCTACCCCACCTTTAATCGTTTCTCTTAAATATAAAAAGAATAGAGGACTATGTAAATTAAAAGATGTCAAGAACAAAATATGGATAAATTCATGCACACGGTTAGAAAATAGCTACCAAAACAACTGAATAATACCCAGCGGGCAACACAGGCTATGCCTCTCTTATGCAACAAACCAATGACTTCACCTTACATTAAGAAAACATACAGATGAAGCCATCAGTTGTTAAGTATTAAATTAAAAAAATGAAATACAGACTGTACAGAACATTTTGTGCATGTGTCTGTAGGCGTTTTGTTCTGAGAAAGCTTCATTTGCTATCCTTCTGAATTACTTATTTGACATGACCAAGCACTTCAGAAAAAAAAATCTGATTCTGAAATGTGTGCACTGATGGCAAGACACACCAAAAACATGTTTAAGAAGTGCTTTGGTCCACAGAAAACACATGTTCTTGGTGTGCCTGTGGAGATTTTGCAACATGCCCTCTAAATCTGGTGCACTTATGTAAACATGGAAGGAACATGGTATTCAGTATGGTACTCCCAGGAAACCAGCACACACACACACACACACACATACTTACACACACTCACACACACACCTCAGCTCCACTCAGTGCAGAAGAACAGAGCAATTACATCATCAACCCTCGCCTTAGGGAGCGAGGCATGAGCGCTGACCACTGAGAGACGTGGGGTCATTACATCACTGGCAGCAGCCTGAAGCAAGCAAGCCATAAAAGAACGAGGAAGAAAGAGCGGTGGCTGTGTGTCAGGCGGGAACTAGACGGTGTGTGAGGTGATCATCGCTAATGCTCCGTAATGCTGCCCACAGGTTACGTTGAGGGTCAGGCACTGCTTGACGCAATGCAGTGACACACATCCCCCCCCGGGCCGTTACTCCGTACCGAGCATTGTTATGTCACATTATAATGCCATATGTGACACACAAAGTGATTTTATAATAACATTCCATTATAATCAATACTGGAATGTGCAGGTGGCGTTTTGTTGCACAAACACGTGTTTTATAACTGTGGGCCTATTGATAACCCTTCCTACTTCCATATTTCTGTACATTTACATGCACTTTTACCCTTGGTTCTTCATATTACTATGCCAATAAATGATACTGCCCTCTAAATAAGCAACTCTAAATCATTTTAAAGGCAGAGACAACACTGACCTCATGCCATTGTGGAAAAGTGGGAGTCTGAGTGGGCAGTGCAGCTTCGAAACTGGATGTGGTATTATGAATGATTTGACCACCTCTAAGTCATAAGGGACTAGCAGATCAATACTGTATGTACTCAAAAAACACAGTTAGCGTTTTTTTCCAGTGCTTTTGTAAAAAAAAAAAAAACATTATTTTAACAAGTTCACTGTCGAACACATGAGGACAAGATAGAGTGAACATGAGAACTGTATCTGTAGATACAAACTGAAAACATAAAACAGGTCCTAAATAGATACTTATGATGCCCAAATGTATGATCATGAAGAAACATGAGATCACGTACTATTGGGTGGCTCAATTACCGGATTTTGGACAACAAGGAATATATCTATATCAGGCTTTGAATAAACCAAGAATAATTATCAATCATAGTCTTGTAGAATTATTATGATCCTAATGCCAGCATCAAGTTGGAAAGTGACCAAAATGGATTCAGTAGTGCCACAATCTCTATTGATCCAAACATAAAACCGAAGAGATCCCACTAATGTTTAATCATGCATGCTTGGATAATGAAAGTCACTTTATTTAGTTTTATTTCAGATTATCACAACTCCATACAGAGACAGCAGGATCAATCCTAACTTCAAGACTATAACCAGATAATCCTGAGAGTTCATGACAAGGACAGAGGCTTACAGAGAAGCAGAAGAGGATCACCGAATGCTGACTGTCTTGAGAAAAAGCAGGTGTAAATAGGGCGGGGGACGAGGACAGAACAGGTAAAAGCAGGTTTTTGACAATATACATGCATGAAACTGAAAGAAACATTATGACAAATACAGGTATAAACCGAGGAAGGAGAAATACATCAAAATGGTCATCATCATGCAGGGCTCCAGCTGTCCTCATCCAAGCCCTCCTCCCTCCCTTATATCTTCCTATCAGTGCTGTACAGATTGTCTTAATGGAAGTGACCTCCATCTGAAACAGTTGAGTGGCCCAAACCTGATTAGTTATTTACCTCACTTCCATCTCTCCTTTCTAGGCACTGTGGCGCCTCAATTCTTCCTTTACGTCTTCCCTCCTCTCTGCCAAATTATGCCTCGGTCCTGCTATAGTGATGGTAATGTATTGTGTCACTTTAAACGAGAAAATAGTCCCTCTGGATTTACCGATTTGAAAAGTGAGGGTAGCAGGGAAACGTGCACAACCGTGGCAAGCCTTTAATCAAGCGTGGTGATATCTAAGTGCTTTTAAGAGTTCCTCATGCCTTTGCTACACGTGAGGATTTACACATCTTCACAGTGGGCTCCCTGATGTAACTGCCTATCTGTGCATGTGTCCTCCAAGTCCTCCAGGAGGGGTGCGATATATTGGCTTCTAATTGGTTTATATCAGTGTACAGAAAGCGGTGTGCACTGGAGTTGCCTGCTGCAGTGCAACGCAGGAGAGAGGAAAGAGAAGATATTTTATATATCAGACTCCAGAGTGTCTGAGCCCACTCACGCCTGTGCTGTAGGTGTGCCTGTGACGCACACTGAAAAAGTGAGGCTGCATACTTTCTCTGTCCGTCAGGGTTAGGGTTAGGGTCTGTATGTCAATGCTCCTCACATTGTTTTGACAAGCGTGGCTCCAGACCATCATCATCTAAATAAATAAAAAAGGCTCACATTGGGAGAACAAAATAGACCACCAAATCCCTCTATATTTCTGTTCAGGTATTACAGTTACAACAAAAGCTTTGAAAGCTGTAAGAGTAAATACATCTGTGTATAACTCATCAATAAATAAAACAAATCACTGAAATGAACAGCTCTAAAGCAGAACACTCTTTAGAATCATCACTAGGCAAATCAATATTTCATATAGAAATGATGAAGAGATAAACTCGTACTCTGGCTTTGAATAAATATTTAAATCAATCCACCAGCTTTTAGCTCTGAAGCCAATTGCTTTAGATTTAGCTCAATTCACATACAGGTCTACTCTATGTTTAGTAGTCACAGCACCGTGTTCCTGCTTCACATGTTTTACTGAGCAGCAGGGTCTTTTAGAATCAGGTACTGCAGGTAATGCTTGGTGCGCCAGAACTGATTCTATTTGTAAGGGATTGATGACACCTTGTGGACAAGTTGGGAAATTTCACTCCGAAGCCCAACTTTCTTGAGCAATAAATTGTCGCTTTGCTAAAAAACTAAGCTCATCTTCCCTTTACAGAGAGAATACAGAATATGTTGTATGATTATATACCACAAAGCTAATAGGACTTTCTTTCAATGCATCTTGTACATCAGTTAAGCAACCAAAATGTAGTGTAAAATGTCTCAAAAGATAAAGAGTAGGGACGAGTATTGATGTTTACTATTTTCTTCGATATCGACTGAACTGTGTCTTTTTTAAAGACTACAAACATCTGTCCATTTCCCAAAAATGTAAAGATAGTAAGACAACATTGGCATGCAAAAAGTCAAACGAAATGTGTTTAACACATAAACAAGTTTTCATGTCACAGGCAACATATCTAACAAACAATTATTACGATTATGGCTCATAATAAATCTGGTGATGCATTGCCAACAGAAATTCGTATTTTTAGATAATACCACATACAGTACAGGTGTCAAATCAGTAAATACTTTATAGAAATAAAAGTACTACGGCCTTTTCTACTACATCAACCAGAAGGAAGAGTCTATAACAATGGCTGCCTAGGAGGTTTTTTTTTTTAAAGTATAGTGATGCTGATGACAGCATTGACAGCCATACTAAATTAATTAAACTCTCATGACAGACGGTCACGGACACTTTTTCCTTTGACACCAGAACCAAGAGAGATGACAGGAAGAGGGCTCAGAGCAACAACAGTTATTAGTTTGACTCTAACAGGGAAACCCCAAAATGGTGACAGTAGTCCAGAAGGATTTAGAGTGATGTATACACTTTGTACCTCATACAATCAGAATAACAAAGCCACTCACCAAGTATTAGTATAGAGTCTTCTTGCTTGACGTGTTTTTCCAGAAGGTGCTTGAATTTAGAAAAGCAGCCCAACCAGTCAAAACTCTGCTCCGTCTTGTATCTTTCATCCCAGTAGTCAACGTCGTTGTACCTGGAGTTGTCATCCGGCAGGTAGTTCATATTCTCTGTGATGTAACAATGAAAACAAAGACATCAGAATAGAATCAATTTCAGAAAAGGAAGAACTGCTTTTACTGTGTACATCTACCTGTTTCAATGCCAGGCTGTCAATTTTCCTTTGCTTGGTTTATATCAGGTAAAATGTGAAGATACCGCCCAAATGCCAAGAGGTCTATAACATAACCAAATAACAATTCAGTTTGTGATTCAACTCAATTCCAAACACTTTATTCTTAGAGGCTAGATAACACATGTGTCTGTAGCCTACATGGTATATGCCATTATTCAAAGAACTACTGATCTATGCAAGATGACATTTGAAGCCAGAAGCAGAGAAGTACAGTAACATAATAAACAAACAAAAACATATTGTAACATTTTTTTTTAAAGGAGCTGTACAGTGTAACATTGACAATGATATAAGAAGATAATATTAGTCCAAAATGTAACCTGTCAATATTCAGACCATAATAATGATCTATCCTCTATTATTTGGTTGTGTATAATTTGAATAGGTCGATTTATTTTGTTTTCATTTCATAGTTAATCTGATGCTCCCTTATAGGCCTCAATGTTCTTACCACTTTCTTATCTGCAGGTTTTTTTTAAGCAAGGCGTTATAGTGATTGCAAATTACTTATATTGACAGTGCTTACTCACAGTAGTTTACGTTGTATTCTATGTGAATGGTTTATGTATCATAACGTCTGTGATAGTTGTTTGTTTTAGCTGCCTGCAAGTTATGGCTATCCTTTTCCTAAATACTTCAGTTTGTGATAATGTTTTGGCTATTATTACTCGCTTATGACTGTAGGAAGCTGCATTGCTTGCTACACACACGCTACAAATGCAGCTAACCTTTCCTCCAACAACATTTTATTCATAGTGGTAGCAGTAAATCATATTTTACCAGACATAAACACATAATTGTTTTTCTGTAAGGTTCACTCTCTCCGGTGGCTTCGTAAAGTTTCACCATTCAACTAGTTAGCTTTATGTCTCGTGAGATCTGAAATGAAATGGGTCTTTATGCCGCGGTGCTAAAGTAAGTGTAGTGAGATAAGATAGTGAAACGAGCACAAACGTTAGCAATTTAAGCATGCGTTAACACAATAAACAGAAACTTTAGGTTTGTGTTGTCGTTTTGAACTCCCTCGCTGTGCACTATCTTTGAATGGTCCTGCCCCGGTGCATGGCACTGCGCATGCGTACTTTATATCGCAGGCAGTTCAATTCAAATGGTTTCTCAATAAAGTTGATTTAAAACTGTAACACATCCTATACATGATTTTCTTTGGATTACATAGTATTATTTGGCTACTTACGAGTTCCTCGTTTCCACCAGTCACTCTTGAATCAGTAAAAACGCCGGGGCGTAACTGTGTCAAAATCCACGTGTTGTAGTTTCCCAACCTTAAAGCTACAGTGCTGCAGACAGTGAGGGTGCGCAGTTACATCCACAACAGAAGGAAACATGGTGAGAAAAAAGGGAGTTAAAGTTCACAGTCTTTAGAGGAATTATTAGTTTGAACTGAAGTAAGAAAAATGTTTAATCATTTATGGTTCAGAGAATGAGGCATTGTAATGTACAACTCATTTCACATGTACAATGCTTCAAATAACAGCCTCATGTCAAATAAACCAGATCTACCTAATTTGGTGAGATAGAATTTCTGTAAAATCAATTTCAATGAATTGATTCGACAATGTATTGCCTTTAAAAAATCCATGTTCTCTAACAAATCAATGCAAAACTGTATTGATGTTTTTGGTGGAAAACTTCTTGAGTGTTTTCAATTGCTTCAATATCATTTTCTAAATGACTCCTAATCAATGCAGCATTGTCTAACATTTTATTTAGTCTTTTATATGTTTATGTTTCCAATAGCTTCCAAACCATGTGGTATTTCGTAACAATGGTCTTTCTATTTATCTGATATTAAGGAGTGGACGCAGCTAAATTGGCTCACATTGGCAATCACAAACCTGTACCCCATCCTCCCATCCTCCCATCCTCCACAGTTTTTACATCTGCAACATGGAGATGCCTTACAATTTGGTTCTGTATAGGTATTGGGGCTTCCAGAGACCCACAAGGCCAAACGGTGGAAGGCGATCCCCCTTGGTCAAACCCTCCAGTCGAGATATTATTGTAGTTTCCTCCTTGTGACTGTAGATGGCAGAAAAGACCAGGGAGTGTGCCCACAGGGTTAGTAACACTGGTGGAATTTAGCCTGTAGAGTGGCATACAGAGAAATCCCCAACCAACTGCACCAGAGAAGAAATACCTAAATCTTGTTTCAAACAAGACTTTAAAGTTGTGTGGCTCTCTCAATAGCTCTTCTCTCCTCTCCTATGATGGCCAAGTAACTAAGGCCCTGATCCTCGAATGCCCTCTTCTTTGAAAAAAAAATTCTGTCACGTCAAATACAGCTTTCAGACTCCATCTGCTGTGCTTAACTTTAACACAATGATCATTTATCATGATGATAACTATACTTTACTGCAAAGGCATCTGAAGGATGTTGTATTTTGTGCGCTTTAGCAATGTGGGGCATCGTGCTATTTTCATAAAACCATGGTTTTAGTTAGTTATTTTTAACAAATATGGAATTGCTTATGACAAAAACAAAAATCAACACTTACACGATTAGACAGGCACAAGATTGGAAGAAGTGTAATTTGAAAGTTACATCAACAACTTTGAAAACATTTTACATGAAGAAAATAACACACTTTCCGTTGTAAAGATGAGACTGAAACTCTATTGAATATTGGGGGAACATAAATGCCAGCGATAAACAAATATTGGCAACGTATTGTAAAAAAGAGGCTTTAAAGCTTGCAGTATAAGTATAATAAGTAAGTATAATAAGTATAATAATCCACTGCAGGTTAGCTCATGTAGGGCTCAGAGCACTATTGCCTTTTGGACCCCCATGTAGTTCCTGGGATTTACATTTTCTTTATGCCGTGACTGCAAAAAAAGTTACAAAAAGCACATCAGATATGGAAAAACAACAATCTAGAAACACTTAACAAACCATTTAAAAAGAATTCCAACTCGTGTAGTGTAGAGAGGACTGTAACTTTATTGCAACACCATTTCTTGTTAGAAGAAATGATTTTTCGCTTATTTGCCTGAAAGTAAATAATAATAATAATAATAATACATTCAATGTATATAGCGCTTTTCCTGGTGCTCAAAGCGCTTTACAAGCAAGTAAAGAAGAAAAAAAAAATAAGGGCGAGGGGAGAGGATTAGGAGTTGAAGGCAAGAGTTACGTTTTGAGGGATTGTTTGAATGATATAATAATAATACATTTTATTTCTATAGTGCTTTTTTTGGCATGGGGAATGACCTACAGTATTTTACTGTTTATGTAAAAGCATTTTTAGAACATATCAAAGAAATGTGGACTCTAAAGCTTGACACTATTAGCATATTTAGTTTCATTGAGCCACCAAATCATCCTCAACATTCTGCCTATTTTTTTTATAAACAAGTGTAGTCTGCCTTTCATATGGTATTAGAAAAGAATGAAGGAAATGTGAAGTGCTTTGATTCTACCGAGATAACTGACTCTCCTCCTTAATAGTGGATTAGCAATAAACGACTGCACACCGCTATATAAGTTTAGAGAATTACGGTTTATTGCAGTTCAGTGAGGGTGACATGGAGGGATATGCATAACGTTTTTCAGTTTGGCACTTGATGCACTGCAGGCAGAATAACTTCCCTCTGTGAGCTGTTAGAAGGATGCAGGATTAGCCTCTCTCAGGGCAGGCAGCGCAGCCATTTATGAGACATTGAGGTTGCTTTGACACAGAAAAAGCAACTGTCATTGATGAAGATGCATTGCATTTGATCTCCACACCACTGTACTTTCTAGTTATAGATGAAAGAGGTTTTCTAGTGTGATCGCCAATGTGAGCCAATAACTTTAGCTGCAGACAACTTTTTAATGTCAGATAATAAAATAGAATGAACATTGTTGAGTTATCAGGGAATTTCTTACTTCTTAATTTCTTATGAACAATATCCAAAAAAGGTGATCCCTTAAAAACAGCAGCGTGATACTACCATCTATACAGGGGGATTCATGACGTTACTTTCCTGCAAAATAAACGTTTGTTTATTTCATGTAAAAAAAATATGGTTGGTGGAAGACAGAAAGAAAGTTCCAACATGAAGCTGTTCAAACCAAGGTGTCTGTCTCTTCTTGAGTAGCTGGGTCATTATCTGGAAAGATACATTGTTGTTGAGGTTTTTTTTGGCTTTTAGAGCACCAGAAGAAGAGTGTCTTTAAATGATCATTACCATTATATTCAAAGAAGGCAGGTGATGGGCAATTCAAGCATTTTGTGTAGCACAGGTGTAACTAACAAGTTAGCCATGACAGTGAGACAGTGAGCCTGAATGAAAAATAAAACTGAGGTAGTTTATGGAATTCAACCTTCATTTATTTCATTATTACATCTCAAATTTTACTGTCGAGTCTCAAAATGTCTTCTCTTTGCCTATTGTTGTTCTTTTTCAAGATAATCTACTGTTCTAAATTGCAGGCTGTCATGTGTACATAGTGCACTGCAGTCTGATTCACAGCTTAAAGCAGGCAATTGCATGCATTTTTGTAAAAAAAGAAAAAAACTTCTAAATACTTGAAGCATCAGACTGAAGCCAATGACCTCCATAGGTGTAGCAGGTTGATGCAACAAATGGCAAAGAATGACTTGAGAAATGTTTGAAGCATTTCAAAAAAATATTCTTCGCACACTCTCCTGTTGGTTCATCAGGTTTGCTGCGTGTGTTGAATTGAAGTCTACCAACCCATACTGTAAACTGTAGGTTTGCCGCTGCATCATAATTATGTAACCCTCATGCTGGCACCAGTCAGAGTAATACCAGTGATTAAAAGTGGAGCAGCAATAAAACATATCCCTGAACCATTTTAATTGCACAATAGCCTGGAGGGGGAAAAAAGCAAAGATAATAATAATTTCAATCCGATGTTTGGGCTACACTCTGGACCTGATTGGAGACACAGGGAATCATTTGCCACAAATTCCTCTGCATAGTGGAGGCACTATCACAGACCACGTGAGAGGAATATTCAATGACGGTCCCCGGCAGACCGGTTCATCTCCTGGCACTCCTCTGCTGCTGACATGGACTGCTGGACACTGTATTCTCTCAGCTCCCCACTAACGGTCGCGGAGGGAGGGCGATACTCTTTCTGAATGTAATCTTTGCCGTTTTTTCCTCTTCTTTTTCTGTTCTTTTTTCTTTGATTTCTTCTACAAGTCGCACAGTTAGGGGAGGGGATGGCTTGGCCGTGCATCAGCAGAGTGTGCTGCCTGGCTCGCTTCTGGAACCAGTTCGACAAATCGGACCTCTCCGTCCCGCTCACCATCCAGAACTACTCGGACATCCCGGATCATGAGGTGCGCTCCATCACCAAACAGGTCTCCGCCTCGGAGCGCGCACCCGGGAATAAGTACGCAACCCCGGACCCGCGTGGCCCCTCTCATGCGCCCAGAGATGCCCCGGGGACCCGAGGATCCCTCAAGGCACGGAAGGAGCAAAGTTACAAGCCCCGGGAGGAGTATCACCCACCCGGAGTGCCTTTCAACAGTGTGACCCAGTACAAGCAGGATTTCAAACCTTGGCCCATTCCCAGGAAGGAGAATTTCCCTTGGATTAGTAACGGGGGCAGCAGGGCAGACAGTGCTCCGGACAGCCCGGAGAACGGGTACCACAGCCAGGCACACCCGGGGGAGGGCGAGGAGCGGGGCAGGGGGCAGAGGGGGGCAGACACCCAGGGGGTGGATGAGAGCAAAACCAGCTCCTACAGGTAGGACATGTCCGCCTCTGGTTTCAGCAACTGTCGCTGTCCTCTGTGTGAATGCTGGTGCTTGCTTTGATGCTTAATTAGATTTGTGTGTTTTAAAATTCATTGACTTCCATGGTCGACCCAGCAAGCTGTGTAGGTCATCAATTATTCTCTTTGGTTGGATGTTGCATTTTATTTCAGGTTATGTAGACATCTCCTTTCCTATCAATTACAACTATCAATCAAAGAATGTTAGCTTTATGTTTACTAAGGGTTTTAGCCTTTTTAGATAAAAAAATAAGTAAAACTGTGCAGTATACTTCACAATAAAAAAATATATTTGAAAATGTTGGATTATTGTTTTGTTGATCATCTTGCAATCACTCAGTTTTTGTACAATCCCTTGGTTGGTCCAGACCCCTATAAGTTATATAAATAACCCATAGTAGGCCTACCAACATTTTCAATATGAGCATGTTATCGAAACACATTTAAAAATGCAATAGAATAGATCGAATGGGAGGGATGAAGCCCTAT